TCCTCCCTGGACTGACCTATCCCCTCCCTAACTCCCCACCTACACTCACCTTTACTGGCTCCATCCCCGCCTCTTCGACCTGTTTGTTTCCTCTCCACCTATCCTCTCCCCTATCCATCTTCTTTCCGCCTCCCCCTCTCTCCCTATTTATTTCAGAACCCCCTTCCCCACCCCATTTCTGATGAAGGGTCTAGGCCCGAAACTTCAGCCTTTCTGTTCCCATGATGCTGCTTAGCCTGCTGTGTTCATCCAGCTCTGCACCTTGTTGTCTCATACATGTACTGTGCCTGTTTCAACTCAACAAAATTGATGAAAGTGATTCATAACTAACCAGTACATTCTCTACAGCGATCTCCTTGTCAAGCAATCAGCATTCACATACAGTATATTTGTTGATTTCCCCCTTAAATTGGTATTCTTGTTAATTGCCTTGATGTGTGGAATGAGAAAAGCTTCACCAAAGTTTTCATTTAGCAATATAGATTATTTTTGAACTGCAAAAGGGGGCTGGAAGGGGAGCATGTGGGTGGATAGTTGAGGGAAGAGAGGCATTTACAGTGCATGTATGGCTGTACTAGGTCAAACAAATTACTTTTATTTGATATTTAACCTGTGAAAATGCTTACAATTCATTCCATTCCTGACCCATTTTCACAGGTTCAAATAGGAAACCCTGTCGTAATTCATCATATGTTAAATTTAAGTTATTCAATTGTAGCTGCAGTTCAGGTTCTTCCATGGTCCCATTTTATAAAGAGATTATAGGGGATTTATTTGTCATAAATTAACAAAACATCATATTTATAGATTTGAAGATAAAAAATGCAATACTGTGTATGTCCATTTGCCATTTGTGTTATTTTACCTAAGAAAAAGTCAAAACAAAATCAATACAAATGCAGAAGATAATTTTACTTTCTGAGTGCATCATCTGATAAACAATGAGAATGAAAAAGGAACTTTTGAAAACAAAAAAGCAACCCCAAAAAATTAAAAACTAACACTCGAGAATGTCACACAGCTATCAGAAAGTGTATATATTTTAAGCCTCGCTGCTATGCATGTATATTAATTGCAAATTAATTGTTTAATTATATGCAGATGATGGATTTTAACTTATAATTCATGTGAGTCCCTATAAATAGACACAGACGAAAAGTGAGGTTATTGGGGAATTTGTATGTTTGTAATTTTGTTTTGAAAACAAATATCAAAGTGCGTGAAGATTGATTCCAATTCTATGAGACACCAACTGTCTTTCTGGTGAGCAACAGTGTAAAATTAGACCATTGATGGAATCTTGCACCCTCCCAAGAGAAATTTGGTAGTTTAGCTGTACTTGATTGAGTGGAAGAGTAGTGAACAATTAAGTCTGGGCAGGGGAGGTTGGATGGCCTGACTGCTAATTGAATTGCATAAGTAGACATTAATTTCCTTATCCTGCTGCCACGGATGTAAACCTAGTGGCAGGTGGGAGTTTGTCATGCAGGGAGGATAATGAACAATTATTTGCATGCGGGTTTCCACGAGTATCCCTTCTTCAAATGTGTAAACAAAGAACTTGCATCTGAAAGTGGGATGAGGGGACGTGGATGCCTGATAAAGCCACCAGCTAGTCTTGCCTGTTAATCCCCTTCCCATGAATCGCTCTGCAATCCCTTTCCTGCCACCACTCAACTGTGCTTTCTGCATTCCTCTTTGATCCAAGGCTTTGGGTAGTTGTGTACTACCACAGCCACTGTGTCTCCAGAGCCACTGCTGAGTGTAAAAGAACTGCCAGCCTCTGATTGATCATCAGGTCTTCCTGGACAGGAAAGCTGACAATTCCAGGTTCCTCAATCCTGATGGAAGGTCTGTCAGAGTCTGCTAAATATCTGAGTGACCAAATTATTATGGGCCTTCTTGAAAGACTATGACACTATGCCTTGCTGGCTCCACAGCTGGTAGCTGAAATCCCTGTCATCCCTACAAAATTCCAATCCCATCTGAAGTACGCAGTTTCGAGCATTCCACCTCAGGAACAAAATATTGGGACTAATACTTACGTTCACCATGTTAAGATCATGGAGCAGATTATCAACTTTGTTACAATCTGTCTAGGGATCAACAACTTCTCCTTTTACCTTTGAAGTAGATGAAACGTAAGACCCAGGGCCAAAAACCAGAAGTTGCTGGAAAAGCGCAGCATTTGTGAAGAGAAATCAGACCCTTCCTCAGTTCTGCTGAGCTTTTCCAGCAAATTCTATTTTTGTTTCTGATTTACAGCATCTTTTGGTTTTTATGTAAGATCCAGGGTCTTACTAAGAGTATAAAGCCACAGGATTCCAAGGCTTTGAATAAACAATAATAAACTTTACAAGTTAAAACAGTCACACAACCCTAGAATACATGTAGAATATGAACCGAACACCCAGAATTAATATGAGGTAAATACAGGTAATAAACTATGCTTGGACACTCGACAGGACACATCAATAGCAAATGCAATCAAGACAGACTCTATAGATTTCCCAGTAATTCCATGTAAATGTAATGACACGGTGGGTTATCAAATGTCATTAAACTTCAAAAGGGATCATAATTCTTCACTATTGTTGATGTGCCCTTGAAACCCACTCTCAAGAGCATCTTGTCTTGGACTACCTCAACAACTGCTCCCCTTCTAGTCAATCCCCTCATCATCCTGGGTTTAAGCTTCCCTGAACTCTGCAACTGCATTCCAGTGTTCATTCACAGGCATAACTCCAACTTTTCACCAACAACTGAATTCAGCAAGCTAAAACTGCCCTTGGGTTCTTCCCTTAGCTCTACTTTTACTCAGTTACATCGAGCAAATGTCGCTGGTGAGCTTTTTACCCCTACACTCAATTGCACTGAAGTATTAATGCTAGCTTCTCCCAGGCCCTTCACAGCTTCCCCCGACACAGCACCAATGACCTTTTCACTTTGTCTGCCCCCTAGAATAATTCCTGAGTCCTGACTTCAATATTGAGCTGCCTGCTCATTCCTCGAACTTGACTTTTGACAGCACCATGCCATCCAGCTGTTCTTGACTCTTCACTAAGTCTCCTACACAAACTGTATTCAGTTCACTTGCCTTCCCAGCAATACAATTAACTGCAGTACTCCTGGATTTTATATGTTCCTGTATCTCTTTCTCCATCTGCCTGTACCATTTAAAGTCCTTTTCAGAAACCAGTCCTGAATGATCCACCAAAAATCTTGCAATAAGCCTTGTCTTTATTTCTGGGCACAATTGAACACAATTGATATTTTTGCAACAGTCAAATGGAGCACATTGGAACTGAATTTACCCTGATGATTATATTCTCACAGAACGTTAGCTCTTGGCACAAGTTGCATGCAATAGGTAGTAATGATTTCTATCGCAGCCAACAATTCAAAATGGGTTTGCAGTAAATGGACAGCTAAGTTTTTTCTATCACACTACAATTTATTTTCCATTGACTTGAAATATTATGAAGATTTTTAATTTGAAACAAGTAAAAGTGACAGTAAGACTAGGAAAGAAGTCTCCTAAAATCTTTTATTCTTCAAGCTTCAGTTGAAAATAGACTGAGCACAGTTAAAATCAGTTGCAAAATCACAACATGCCTATCTTATGTTGCTAGTGTAGAGCAATTCAACACTGGTTTTGGAGGAGGGCACAGCATAGGTTCACCAGAATGTCATGTGACTTAAAGTGATTCAGTTATTTGGAAAGGCTACAAAAGCTGTGTAGTCTTCCCTGAAGTATAGATTGTGATCTAAACTATGTGATATACATATAAATTTAATATTAATTATTACAAGTTTGGGTCCTTGGATTCTGGATTGATGAGAAACATAGATTTTCCTATGTGCCTGGAGGTAATAATTAATGGATGAGTATTTCTGTAGCCATGGGTGATTTCTTTAAAAATTGGTTTTGAGGTCCAGCATTAGATTTAATTTGTGCACATTGTTTTAAGATCAAGCAAGATAAATGATCTCCAGTTTAGAAGGTCAGGAAAGTTTATTTTAACCTTAAAGAAAATACCCATAACTTAAAGAGAGAATTTATTTTAGGTTTACTTTGCATTTTGAGCAATATTGTGAAGTCCTTGGATAGCTGTATAGATCAGTGCCCCTGAGAACGGCAGGATATAGTGAAAATAGATTATCTTGGAATAAGGAGTTGCTTTAGTCCATATCAGAAAGCTCTGACAAAGTTTTTTGAAGCTGAGAACATTTCAGTTCATGTGCATGAGTGCTATGAGATGAATGGGATTATACTTTTACTGATAGTAGGAACTGCAGATGCTGGACAATCTGAGATAACAAGGTGTAGTGTTTTAAAAATTTGGAATTTGTGTTAGATGAAAATAGTTTGGGTTATTCTATTTATCTTCATTTCTTTTGTTACTGAATTTCTGTTCCATTGTCAAAGTAAGGTCAGCAGCATTGCATGCTTATGCTTCAGCAAGACACCAGTTTGTCAAAGCCAAAATGAATGAAAATATGATTTATCAAGTCAGGTTTCAGTCTGGGATTTAACTTGCCCAGTAATAACATAAATTGGGATTATAATGAGATGGTTATTATTAAAGTGTTTAAAATAATTTTAAAAATTGAAGATTGTGAGAGACTTCCTCCACTACTTGAGGAATCTAAAGCAAGCGCGCATAACTTTAGAGTTAGGCTATTCCGGAGTGATAGGTCACACTTATTCACACAAAGGATAGTGAAAATTTGGAGACCGATCCCTCAGAAATACTGTTGAAGCTAAGATTTACCGATTTTTGTTAAAGCATGAGTATGAAGTGACAAACAACCAAGGCAGGTAAGGGAGGTTAAGATACCGATCAACAATGGTCTAAATGTATGGTAGAACAGGCTCAAGGGCCTAATGGCCTGCTTCTGCCATCGTCTTCCTCTCACACTCAATAAAGCTGATTATTCTAGCTATGTGGCTACAGTTGCAGACATCGTGTGGCATTGGTCATGTCAATGCAGCTTACCGTTTCCAAAATGTGCCAGAATTACTGCTAACATTCTGCTTGAATATTACAGTCTCACTAAGCAGATCTCTCCAATTGATCTTCCCTGTGATACAATTCGATTCTGAATTACTACCTGTAAAGAACAAGAGAACAGACTAATTTTTTTTTGGAAAAGGAGAAAATAGTCAAATACAAATAGGTTTCGAATTCAGCTAAATATTGAACCATACCCTCTGTTAACAAACCAAGCTACTATGGCAACAACACAAAGTTTACTTGTTTGCAAATGTTACTTTGTGAATTCGGATTTGTGGCCTATTTTGTACTTCATAGTGTGCATCAGGCTGGATATCATATCAAATACTTTTGTCCATCAATCTCAGAGTTCCTCAGGATTTGAAATTTGAAGACTGACAAACAAAGCCATTGTATTAGTTTCTACATAAATAATGAATTCAGATACTCCCATTTCTTATCTAGTAATATGGAACCATTATGAACAAGTCAAAATTAGATGGGTGCTCTCCGATTAAGGTTATAGCTTGACTGTCCAGTTTACGCTAAGGTTCTGACACTGATTTTTCTAATAGGACCTTCCCACGAGCAGCAACCTTCCTCCGTACTATGCAATTTTCTGTCCTTTCACATAGTTAGGTGCCCAATTTTAAGAACTGACATTCTGTCCTCAAAATCACTGAGACTGCGGGACAGATGAATGACAATTAAAATTTTTGACCATGTTATCATGATCAGATTTCAGGTTTCTGCCACCTACCAAACATACTCATGTTAAAGTTGCCATCATGACTTTTGCCATAAAGAAGAAAGCAATTTTTCATACATTTTATGTAAAAGTCAATGCTAGTTTTTCAGGGATAAAAGCCCAATAAATTTCAGATCTAAAGGACTGAGTAGAGTGAAGCTGTTGTTTTAAATTTTCAAGGTCCAATTGGAAAGGCAAAAGTTAAACCAAACAAATGTTTCAACAACATGGATTTTTTTTTTCTATTCATTTTGTGGGATGTGGGCGTCGCTGGCTGGCCAGCATTTCTTGCCCATCCCTAGTTGCCCTTGAGAAGCTGGTGGTGAGCTGCCTTCTTGAACCGCTGCAGTCCACCTGCTGTGGGTTGACCCATAATGCCATTATATAGGGAATTCCCAGATTTTGACCCAGTGACAGTGAAGGAACAGCGATATATTTCCAAGTCAGGATGCTGAGTGGCTTGGAGGGGAACTTGAAGGTGGTGGTGTTCCCATGTATCTGCTGCCCTTGTCCTTCTAGATGGAAGTGGTTGTAAGTTTAGAAGGTGCTGTCTGAGGGTGAATTTCTGCAGTGCATCTTGTAGTACACACTGTTACTACTGAGCATCGGTGGTGGAGGGAACGAATGCTAATGGATGTAGTGCCAATCAAGCGGGCTGCTTGACCTGGATGGTGTCAAGCTTCTGAGTGTTGTTGGGGCTGCACTCATCCAGGCAAGTGGGGAGTATTCCATCATGCTCCTGACTTGTGCCTTGTAGATGGTGGACAGGATTTGAGAAGTCAGGAGGTGAGTTACTCACTACAGTATTCCTAGCTTCTGGCCTGCTCTTGTAGCCGCTGTGTTTATGTGGTGAGTCCAGTTGAGTTTCTAGTCAATGATGACTCCCAGGATGTCGATAGTTGGGGATTCAGTTATGGTAACACCATTGAATGTCAAGGGATGGTGGTTAGATTGTCTCTTATTGGTGATGGTCATAGCCTGGCATTTGTGCGGCATGAATGTTACTTGCCACTTGTCAGCCCAAACCTGGATATTGTCCAGATCTTTTGCATTTGGACATGGACTACTTCAGTATCTGAGGAGTCACGAATGGTGCTGAATGTTATGCAGTCATCAGTGAACATCCCCACTTCTGACCTTATGATGGAGGGAAGGTCATTGATGAAGCAGCTGAAGATGGTTGGGCTGAGGACACTACCTTGAGGAACTAATGCAGGGATGTCCTGGAGCTGAGATGATTGGCCTCCAACAACCACAACCATCTTCCTATGTGTCAGGTATGACTCCAACCACCAGAGAGTTTGGCCCCGAATCCCATTGATGCCAGTTTTGCTAGGGCTCCTTGGTGCCACACTCGGTCAAATGCAGCCTTGGTGTCAAGGGCTGTTACTCTCACCTCACCTCTGGAATTCAGCTCTTTTGTCCATGTTTGAACCAAGACTGTAATGAGATCAGGAGCTGAGTGGCCCTGGCGGAACCCAAACTTGGCGTCACTGAGCAGGTTATTGCTGAGCAGGTGCTGCTTTATAGCACTGTTGGTGACACCTTCCTTCACTTTACTGATGATCGAGAGTAGACTGATGGGGTGGTATAGGGCAGGGTTGGAATTTGTCCTGCTTTTTATGTACAGGACATACCTGGGCAATTTTCCACATTGCTGGGTAGATACCGGTGTTGTAACTGTAGTGGAACAGCTTGGCTATGGGAGCGACAAGTTCTGGAGCACAAGTCTTCAGTACTATTGCCGAAATGTTGTCAGGGCCTGTAGCCTTTGCAGTATCCAGTGTCTCCAACTGTTTCTTGATATCATGTGAAGTGAATCAAATTGGCTGAAGACTGGTATCTGTAATGCTTGGGGACCACTGGAGGACGACGAGATGGATCATCCACTCGGCACTTCTGGCTGAAGATTGCTGCGAATACTTCAGCCTTATCTTTTGCACTGATGTGCTGGGCTCTTCCATCATTGAGGATGGGGATATTTGTGGAGCTTCCTCCTCCAGTGAGCTGTGTGATTGTCCACCACCATTCACGACTGGATGTGGCAGGACTCCAGAGCTTAGTTTTGATCCGTTGGTTGTGGGATCACTTAGCTGTCTCTATTACATGCTGCGTTTGCTGTTTGGTGTGCAAATAGTCCTGTTGGTGGCTTCACCAGGTTGACATCTCATCTTCAAGTATGCCTAGTGCTGCCTCTGGCATGCCCTCCTGCACTCTCCATTGAAACAGGGTTGATCCCCTGGCAGTATGGTAAGTGCTTCCTCCAAGTGTTGTTCAACATAGAGGAGTACTGACTTATCAGCTGAGGGAGGATGATATGTGATAATTAGCAGGTGGTTTCCTTGCCCATGTTTAACATGAAGCCATGAGACTTCATGGGGTCCAGAGTCAACATTGAGGACTCCCAGAGCAACTCCATCCTGATATACCACTGTGCCGCCACCTCTGCTGGGTCTATCCTGCTGGTGGTACAGGATATATCCAGGGGTGGTGACGGTATTGTCTGGGACATTGGCTGAAAGATATGATTCTGTGAGTATGACTATGTCAGGCTATTGCTTTTGACTAGTCTGTGAGACAGCTCTCCCAGTTTTGGCACTAACACCCAGATGTTAGTGAGGATGACTTTGCAGAGATAGTTATCACAGTAAGCAAGTAGCTGAGATTATAAATGCTGATTTATATTAGCATTAGAGAGATTTTTTCCAGATCTGTATATAATTCAACATTACAAAGTGACTCAAAAGCTATAGCAAAGGAACATAGAACATAGAACATAGAACATTACAGCGCAGTACAGGCCCTTCGGCCCTCGATGTTGCGCCGACCTGTGAAACCAATCTGAAGCCCATCTAACCTAAACTATTCCATTATCATTCATATGTTTATCCAATGACCATTTAAATGCCCTTAAAGTTGGCGAGCCTACTATTTTTGCAGGCAGGGCATTCCACGCCCTTACTACTCTCTGAGTAAAGAACCTACCTCTGACATCTGTCCTATATCTATCACCCCTCAATTTAAAGTTATGTCCCCTCGTGCTAGCCATCACCATCCGAGGAAAAACACTCCCACTGTCCACCCTATCTAATCCTCTGATCATCTTGTATGTCTCTATCAAGTCACCTCTTAACCTTCTTCTCTCTAACGAAAACAGCCTCAAGACCCTCAGCCTTTCCTCATAAGACCTTCCCTCCATACCAGGCAACATCCTGGTAAATCTCCTCTGCACCCTTTCCAATGCTTCCACATCCTTCCTATAATGCGGTGACCAGAACTGTACGCAATACTCAAGTGCGGCCGCACCAGAGTTTTGTACAGCTGCAACATGACCTCATGGCTCCGAAACTCAATCCCTCTACCAATAAAACCTAACATACTGTACGCCTTCTTAACAACGCTATCAACCTGGGCGGCAACTTTCAGTGATCTATGCACATGGACACCGAAATCTTTCTGCTCATCCACACTACCAAGAATCTTACCATTAGCCCAGTACTCTGTATTCCTGTTACTCCTTCCAAAGTGAATCACTTCACACTTTTCCGCATTAAACTCCATTTGCCACCTCTCAGCCCAGCTCTGCAGCTTATCTATGTCCCTCTGTAACCTGCAACATCCTTCTGCACTATCCACAACTCCACCAACTTTGGTGTCATCCGCAAATTTACTAACCCATCCTTCTACGCCCTCATCCAGGTCATTTATAAAAATGACAAACAGCAGTGGCCCCAAAACAGATCCTTGAGGTACACCACTAGTAACTGAACTCCAGGATGAACATTTCCCATCAACCACCACCCTCTGTCTTCTTACAGCTAGCCAATTTCTGATCCAGACCGCTAAATCACCCTCAATCCCATGCCTCCGTATTTTCTGCAATAGCCTACCATGGGGAACCTTATCAAACGCTTTACTGAAATCCATATACACCACATCAACCGCTTTACCCTCATCCACCTGTTTGGTCACCTTCTCAAAGAACTCAATAAGGTTTGTGAGGCACGACCTACCCTTCACAAAACCGTGTTGACTATCCCTAATCAAATTATTCCTTTCTAGATGATTATAAATCCTATCTCTTATAATCCTTTCCAACACTTTACCCACAACCGAAGTAAGGCTCACTGGTCTGTAATTACCAGGGTTGTCTCTACTCCCCTTCTTGAACAAGGGAACAACATTTGCTATCCTCCAGTCTTCTGGCACTATTCCTGAAGACAATGACGACATAAAGATCAAAGCCAAAGGCTCTGCAATCTCCTCTCTAGCTTCCCAGAGAATCCTAGGATAAATCCCATCCGGCCCAGGGGACTTATCTATTTTCACACCTTCCAGAATTGCTAACACCTCCTCCTTATGAACCTCAATCCCATCTAGTCTAATAGACTGTATCTCAGTATTCTCCTCGACTACATTGTCTTTTTCCTGTGTGAATACTGACGAAAAATATTCATTTAGCACCTCTCCTATCTCTTCGGACTCCACGCACAACTTCCCACTACTGTCCTTGACCGGCCCCAATCTTACTCTAGTCATTCTTTTATTCCTGACATACCTATAGAAAGCTTTAGGGTTTTCCTTGATCCTACCTGCTAACGACTTCTCATGTCCCCTCCTGGCTCTTCTTAGCTCTCTCTTTAGGTCCTTCCTGGCTAACTTGTAACTCTCAAGCGCCCTAACTGAGCCTTCACGCCTCATCTCTACATAAGCCTCCTTCTTCCTCTTGAAGGTTTTTATTTTGCAAAAGTGCAGTAAAAATGCCATTTCAGCTAGGTTTTTTTTGATGCAGAAAATGGTGACATAGAGATTCATACTATGTTTTTGAGAGAATGGTTTCTAAAATGGCTGAAAAAATGCATATTAGTTTCCAGTTCTATGAAGATCTGACCTTTTTGAAGCCAGAAAGTAATTCTGAACACTGAGTTCAAACAACATTTACTAGAAATGATCAGGAAGTCACATGAGAACATTATTGTTAGTGTGTTCGCTGACTTGAGTTCAATGATCCAGTAAGAAAGAAAGTGACATCCAGAAGTAGGTTCATTCAGAGCAAAGAGAACCTTAACAGCAGAGATGCCATTATTAGCAGTATCCAGGAGGAAAAGTCCTGAACTGTAGACGTCAGTTGGAATAAAGCTGCAGAGGCAAAAAGCTGTCTAGGTGTAAGAGTGGAAGTCATTTGACAAGGTTGTAGAAAACACAGACAGGTTAAACTCATGTCAAGTATTAAGTGAGATGAGTTAGCAGTTTGTTTTAAGGATCTCAGGGTGAGACATTAACTGAAGGAAACAGCAATGAATGATTGCAGAATTTGATCAAAGGGGAAACAATTATAACCGTTACAGATGAACCAGAAGCTTTAGCACAGAGATAGGAGTGACTCTTCACTGAGGTTTGAATGTCTCTAAGGTTAATGCTGAGGGAAAGGGGATTTTTTTTTCTGTTATTTCGAAGAAGATTGTTCAAATGGTTCTTTTATAGTGGAATACAGTTCATGTCTTTATTTTGTATAAGCTAATTTTACATTCTTTTGTTAAAAGTCCATTGACAGCCTCTTGTGAATACATTCAGTGACTGACCTCCAAGGTAAACAAAAAGGAAAAAAAATAAAACTTATGGTCTATCAAGCCAGGTTTCACTCTGGGAACTGACTTGTCCAGTATTACCATCTGCTGTGATCATAACAATGGTTAAAAATATTGAGCCGAGGATCAGCTTTGAAAGGGTACCAAATATATACACTTGTCCCTTTTATAAGGATCAAAAACAATTGAAATCAATTTAGAAATGCCTCAGCTTTCAAACCACTAAAGGTGACATTTGTCCACTCAATGTGGCCCAGGTCAAAAGTTAATATCAACCCCTTAAATACATCATCCGTGTAGAACTTTTGGTCTAAAAAGGTAGTCTCAAAAATGTGACTTTTACAGGAGTATTAATCGCTAATTGATTAAACTTTTAATTCTCCAACACAGGACTGTAAATTCAGCTCCCTAGATTTCTTGTAACATGTAACACGCTGTCTCATCTGGACAGATTTTGCCATGTTCCTGCCATTTCTTTGGAAATTGCACCATGTAATAGTAAGGGATTTAATCTCTAAAATGAAAAGACAGACACAGAAAATTTCCAAGAAAAACAAGCACTGAAAACATTAGTCCACTGATGCTTTTCAGATGCTGGCATGCTCTGCATTTCCAGTTTTTAGTCTCTTTGCAACATGTACTTTGTATAGAAATGTGTTTTTAAAAAGTCTGAGTAATCTTTTGCCACACTAATAGGAGTAAGTTTGGTGAATAATATCAACAAAATAATGAGGAAGGAAAGGAAAGAAATTAGGAACAAAAATATTGCCAGACTAAATCAAATGTACAAGTCAACCATCTGCGATGGATCAAACTTTCCCAAAAAATAAGGTAAGTTCACAATCTATATTGTTATTATTGCACAAAATTGTTCAGCAAGGTCAGGTGAAAAAGACATATGCCACAAACAGCAAATCTCTATAACATATTCACAGTGTTCACCTCATGCAAGTGGCTATGCACCCCAAACCTCCTAAGCATTTTGAAAAACTTCACATTAATTGCCCATTTAACTTGCCATAGAAAGTTAGATCTCCTAATTAACAGTGTATGTATGTTTTTATCAACAGGATAATTATTAATGTCTATCATCCTTTTTACAGAACAGTATTAATTTGAACTGTTCAGTCTTATTAATGTATGTAATAATTTCCTTCCAGATATTTTTAAAAGTTCAATATCTCAATTTTTAAAAAATTTTAATCTTCTCTTCCTTTATTTTTCTTTCTGTAACTGACTTGACTCCAATTTAATCAGTTTTAATTCATCCCTTACCTCTATCATTTATCCTATTCTTTTCTCAATCCTTAAATCTCATTAATTTTGGTCTTATGGTTCACTAAAGTCCCAGATGCCCTGTAGTCCTCACCATCTGTTATCAACACGCACTTCCAGCACCTTACAGGGCAAATTATATATCTTCCAGCTGAAGAGTGCAGGACCCAACTCCAGGACTATTAGGTTAATAATTTAGTTTATTGATACAAAAACACAACTGAAATGCTGATAGGAACATAAAGTGTAGTAATATATCATATGAATACATTTTTGAATTAATTTTAATACTTTGCAGTACAATTGTGTCAAAATTTATCATTGCTTAACTGTCTGTAAAATTACATCTTGATTATGCTCATGCGTTGTAAACAAACACCTTCTCCTAATTGGGGGGATCAATGAATTCTATAATGTGGCACCTAACATCTCAGAAATTAAATGTAATGATTTTTTAAAATTTTAACTCAGCCGCAAATAGATGTATGTTCACACCTTGTTGAATTAATACTCTACGCAAACAAAAATGCTTACCTTCTAAGTGGAAAGATAACTAACAAGTATAACTTAATACATAATTTCTATCTTACTTAAAAATAAATTCAGAAATACTCCACACCTGGAAACTGAAAAAGGTGATTTAGCATCATGGAATCTGTTTTCTATTTACTCACTATTTCCTTGGAGTGGTTGGTTCGAGTTTTCTATCAGCCAGCAAATTCCTCGAATATGATTTTCAATGCTTGGCCAGAAATCACTATTTTCCAATGCAGATCCTTGGGCATCAAATACATCAAAGGCCCTGGAATATATTAAGCGCTTAGTAACAGTCAAGAAAATATAAACTAAATATCAAGCTGTTTTTAGTTACAAAATGATCAAGCAATGCATAAATATAACTCTTAAGTCTAGTAAAATCTCTGTGGCCAGAGAGGAATTAAAAGCTTGTGTCAGAATCCCTGCAATTTCCTGCCTCCCTTCCCACAGTAGCCTGGCATTCAATTCATCTGAGTCAGGAGACTTATCTGTTTTTAAACCCGACAAAGCTCCAATATCTCCCCATTTCCTATGTCAAACTGTGCAAGTTCCTCACAGTCCCTTTTTCTGAATTCTGTACCTGCATTCTCCTTTTCCAGAGTGAAGACCAAAGAGAAGTATTAATTTAACACCCTTCCAATATCCTGCAGCTTCACATACAGGTTGCCCCCTAGGTCCCTAATAGGCCCTAGTCTTTTCCCGGTTAACCTCTTCCCTTTAACGTATCTATAAAATATCAAAAGTCCTTTCTCATGGCCCCTTTTTGCTCTTTTAATTTCTTTCTTAACTTCCCTCCTGCACTTCCTATATTCCTCTAGGTCTGCAGCTGAATTGCTCCCTTTGGACTTGCTAAAATCCCTTCTCTTCTTCTTTATCCAGTCCTGAATTGTCCTAGACATCAGGGTTCTCTGAACTTAATGCTTCTACATTTTCCTCTAAAGGGTACATATTGGACCTGTTTCTCTCAAGTTCCTTTTTAAATGCTCCCCATTTCTCCGTTGTAGTCTTACCAGAAGGAGCTGTTCTCAGTCTCCATGGCCAGATCCTGCTTTATTTTAATAAAATCTTCCTTCCCCCATTCAAAGCCATCTTTTGCAGGCCATTTTTTTTGCTTGTCCATAACAAATTTGAATGGTACCCTTTTGTGGTTGCTACTACGTAAATGTTCCCCCACTGCCACATCGAACACTTGTCCGGCTGCTTTCCCCAGAACCAGATTCATCCCTGTGCTATTCTTTGTTGGATCTTCTACATATTGATACAAAAAACTCCCCTGGATACATTTCAAAAAATCCACCCCCTCTAAACACTTAACACAATGACTATATCAATTTATGTTGGGAAAGTTGAAATGCCCTAGTATAATTACCCGATTATTGCTCTTACATACCTCTGTGAACTGTCTACATATTTGCTCCGACTCTGTGGGGGCCTATAATACACCCCCAGTAAAGGAACTGCCCCCAAAGCCTCATTTGAGGACACATTGGGACACACTTCTTTTAATTTACTGCCATTTTCTCCATGTAATCCCTCATAAGCCAAATTCCTGAGCAATCAGAAGAATGGCCAAGCGATTTTCTTTCTGATACTACACAAGGCTGGTCACCAGGAAGCATATCAGGCAGCATGGTGGCTCAGAGGCTGGCACTGCTGCCTCATAGTGCTAGGGACCTGGGTTCAATTCTACCCTCAGGTGACTGTCTGTATGGAGTTTACACATTCTCCCGGTGCCTGTGTGGGTTTCCTCTATATCCTCTAGTTTCCTCCCACGTCCAAAGATGTGTAGGTTAGGTGGATTGGCCATGCTAAATTGCCATGGTGACCAGGGATGTGCAGGTTAGGAGGATTAGCCATGGGAAATGCAGGGTTACAGCGATGGGGTGGGTCTCAGTGGGATGTTCTTCAGAGGGTCAGTATGGACTTGATGGGCCAAATGGCCTGCTTCCACACTGTAGGGATTCTATGATATCAGAGTGGTCCAATGAAGACAGCACCCACCCCAGTCTGTCTGGGCTACACAGAATTTCCAGGCTCTTGAAATGATGAATTTACACTTACAGGTTCCATATAACGTGTTCCTGAAAAGTACTAAATTCAAAACTTTTCCACTGTTCAGATGTAGCATATATTTCTTCTGTGATATTCCTAAAGAACTGATTGTAGAATCGTTGGTTGTCTTCATACACTTTGAATAATTCTAGCCATCCTGTGTATGAATCTTGAAATGTGACTTCAAAATCCTGCTCCCCAGCAAGCACTGTGCTGTACTGTTCAACCTGTAATAATCAAAAAATGTTAATGCCATGGCTGTGTGTTGAACTATCACATGAACAAGCTGTAATTCATGCTCCACACCATTAAGGTAGACATGCAAATGCTACTGAGAGGTGGACAAGCTTTTAGCACACAGAGAAACGGCTCCAGGATTGCGATTAAACTCTGCGGTGCGTCTATTTAATTATTCCCAATTTGATACCCTAGTATTTATTTTCAGAATGATTGAACTGCTCCAAATGGGATTCTTTTTCTGGTCTATGGATTTCAGACATTTAAGTTTGCTTGACTTCTAAGGTCATTTCCCTCTATTTCAGTGCAGTATAGATTTAGAATTTGTACATTCATATAAAAGAATCTACTTTTCTAGTTGTGATCCTGTGGTCCTCTCCTGGGTGTCTTATCATTTGTATGGCTGCCCCCACCTCAGCATTTTAGCAGGCTGTACTTCTAACACATACTTTCTTTCCTGGGCCTATGTACCCACCCCCTCACTCAATTTTTATCATCACACCCTATTTTCCATTGAACAAATACCCTGTTCTACCTCTGAAATTCAATTTCTCTAGCAATCTGCATTGCTTTGTCCTGTATCAAATTCTTCTGACTTGTAAATGATCTAACAGGGCTCATGTACAACCATAATTCGGTTGGATATCAATTCTGCCATCAACCTGAATTTGCGTAGTTCTCTGCCAGACAGTAAGGATAACTTATCCAAGCTTTTCATGCTTTTACTTGGCCTCTGCTTTCTCTTATTAATCCACGCAAGCTCTGTTATTAAATGCCAGCATGCTATGAAATAAGCACCAAATGCCCGCAAGGCTTCTTCCAATGGCAGCACTTTCTCATCGGTGCCTTTTCTTGCTAATATCTAGTTCATGATATTCACAGCTGCATAGACAATTGATCTGTTGATTTTGGTCATCTATTCAATCTAATCCTATAGCTATTTTGTACCCTCATCAGTTAGGAATAGAAGAGTTATAAAATTCCAGTTGTGAAGAAGAGTTATGAAACACAAAATGTTGAATTTGTTTCTCTGTCCATGGATGTTGCTGAACCTACTGAGTTTCTCTAGCAGAGATAGTAGGAACTGCAGATGCTGGAGAATCCGAGACAACAAGGTGCAGAGCTGGATTAACACAGCAGGCCAAGCAGCATCATAGGAGCAGAGAGGCTGACGTTT